TGGGGCTTCTCCCTCCCTCAACCATAAGACTTCAGGATTAGTGCCCCTCCCTAGGTTCCATGTTTTGTCTACTGAATCCACCGCTTTGTTCTGTCCTGATCCATTTCCCCATTTTATTAATGAAGGAAGCCTGTTCCTGAAATAATCAGAGTTTCCGGTGTTACTGTACCGATAAAGTGCCCGCTAAGAGCAGACATTTGACATTTGAGTTAGAGGCTGTGACTAAATGAGGGAACAGGTAGGATTTCCAGGTCAATGTTTGTAATACAGGAAAAAGCTCAGGGGTCATCCTTACTGTCATCATCACAGACTCCTGAGGGCTTGGGCCCCCATGCGGGGGACACTTAGAGCAGTCATGGGGCTCCAGGCACGTGCACGCGCACACACACACACACACACTCATGTTAGCACACATGCCCCAGAAGAACCAGCAGATTGGGCCTGGGATGATGTGACTTGCTTGCTACCCCAGTCCCGTAGGCTTGAAGTCTCCTGGCTCCAGGTGTTGTGATTTCTCACTTGGGGCTGGTTCCCTTTAAGCCCTTCCAGAGCTGTGAGCTGGGTCACGTGCAGGAACTAACCATCTAGTCGGGAGACAAGCCCTGTGGGCTGAAATCCCAGCCCAAGCAGCGCAGGACAGGTGCCCTGGGTAGGGGGAGGTCCAGGAGGGGAGCAGAGCGGGGGGCCACGTGGAGGGCTCATCACACTGGGATAGTCTCTGGTGTGGTAGGTACATTGAGGTACTTCCTTGCCACAATAACTATGCTCTGCAGGAGTGTTAAGGAGCTCCAGGCTTCCAGCGGCTGACTGTCCTCAAGTCTCATGTATGTTGCCTTCAACTACACGTGTAGGATTTGTTTTTGCCGGCAGATTCACCTCCTTGGTTAGATTTGGCTCCAGCCAGTGTTAGAATAGTGTTCATTCCTTAAGAAAGTACCCAAACAGATTGAGGGGCCTCAAATGTGTGCCTGGAGAAGGTCACCTGAGAGGTAGTAACAGCCACAGGTAATCCTTGAGCTGTGCCATCCCCTTGCCTACCAGAATTCACAGCCCCGGGCAGGTGCTGGGAAGATGGTAGATAACGCTGGCAGGTCTATCCTTCAGCCTGGGATAGGGGAGGCAGCTCATCGATTCAAGAGCCAGTCTTGTCTAACTCTTTCATTTCACAGATGTAGAAACTGCACTCTGGGGTGGAAAGTGACCTTCCCCCAATTCCACTGCCAACAAGAGAGCCAGGAGTCAAATGCACATCCCCTGGGGCTGCCATGTGAATCTTCTTCCCTCCCATAAGTGAGAACAAGGGGGTGGGAGCAAGGAAGAAGCGTGGAAGAGGCTGGGACTCCTTTGGCCAACCCCTTCCTGACTTGTCCTGTATCCTATCTGGGTCTCAGTTTTTTATCAATAAAATGGAACGCATGGCCTCCATGAGCGCCAAGGTTCCAAGATGTACTAGACTAGAACATTCCTCCCTGGCCTCTGAGGCCTCAAGAAATGGGATGAAGCCAGAGGAAGCAACGGGAAGCCGAAACTCCAAGACAAGGAGGCGCCTGGTCCGGGGAAGGGGGGTAGGCAGAAAGCAGCAAAGTTAGTGCTGTACCCTCCACCCCAGCTATTTTTACCCTAGAACACTGGACTGCAAGAAGCCTGGCTAAAAATACCAGTAGCCCAAGCCCGGAGCATCTTCCCCCTAGAGAGGCGGCGTGGGGGCTGGCAAGGAGAAGGCTGTGGGGACCGGGAGTTCCAAGGGCATCCATCCTTCTCCTTCCCAGGGCTGGGATGCCAGGGGTGGGGGTGGGGGCGCGACTGGGAGGGAGACCCTTCCCTTCAGAGGGCCTTTCCTTCTAGATAGCCCAAGAATAAGCTTGTTTTTGTCATTTTTGGCAATTCTAGCCAGCCCTGTCCACACACATACATTTTTTTTTTTTACCCAACGTCAGCAGAATCTGCTATAATTTTGTGTTCTGTTCTTTTTCATTTATTCTTCATAACCATTTTATGTTGCTATGTACTCTTAATACCTGTCATTCTTAATGGCTGCATAATATTCCGTCCCGGGGACTTTTGTCTTCCCTGATCGTTGGGGCTTTGATGGCTTCCAGTGTTCCATTATTATAAATAAAGCTGCCTTGGACATCTTTGTGCCTGTGGCTTTTTTCTCCTCGTTAATTATTTCTGTAAGATAAGTGTCCAGGTCAGCAGGCAAGGCTGTTTTTGTGCTGTTTGATGTGGCTTGCCAAACTGCTTTCCAAAAGTAAATGAAGGAGGTTTCATGTAAGGATGCATCCCACACTGGATGCCAAGTACAGTCAGGCTTCAGGGAATTGGAACTGAGAGCCAACAGGAGCTCAAATAGGTCCCTCCCCAGGGATTGCCTGTCCCAGCTTCTCTCTCTGCTCTCCCTGCCCCAGGTCTTTTCTTTTCTTTTCTTTTCTTTTTTTTTTTTTTTTTGGACCTAGCAGAGCTGTCAGCTCTGAGCACATATCATTTTGTAACTCACCACTCGCATGTCCTGAGGGCTTACTTTGACCCTAGGCCCCGTACCAATCATCTGTATGGATTATCTTAATTTTCACAACCACCCTTGGCTGTAGGGATTATAATAATCCCCATTTTACAGATGAAGAAACTGAGGCATGGAAAAAACTGAGTAATTTGTTCAAAGATGCAGTCACTAACTGGTGGGACCAGGTCCCGCCTCACTGGCTTACCTCACTTAAAAAATGTACTCAGGACCACTATACCAGTCTCCCTGGGAACACAGAGACCCCAAATCCATCAGCAACAGCCTAGCATTTCTGTGTCTCTGAGTTAGAATATGGAAAAGGGAGAATCTGACTGGCTTAGCCCAGCCTATGAATTGGAACCCTATAAGTCAAGGTCCCTTCTGATGTTCCCGTGTCAGACTCTGTTAAAAAATATGAAAAAGGAAGGTAATCGGCATAAGTGCTAACTTGTCTGCAATGGCCTCTCATTGGTTCTTGGTAAGCCTGAACATATTTCCATATGTTCCTCTCTTTCTGTGCATGCTGTCCACACCCGCCTATCTTGGTCATGCTTTCTATATTACAGATACGAATGCCACACAGAACCATGATGTGCTGGGAGGGGTTGCAGGTGGAGCGAGGATGGTTTCTCACTACATGACTTCTCTTTTGTCCTGAAGGCCTGGGGGGTTTGACCAGCTTCCTAATCAGTGTTTCTGAGAAACCGCCTTCTTCCTCCCCACCTGGTGTGTTATTTGAACTAGACAATCTTTAATGGGGACATCCCCCGCCGGGAGGGTCTCTGCATCTGCCCTCTCCTTTCTGGCACTTTCTCCTGAATGAATTGACTTCTGGAAGTTTCCAGGGGCTGAAACAATTCGCTGCCCAGGCTGTGGGACTTGTCCTCGAGTTGCATCCTACGTCTGCTCTTATGGGGCTTTCACCTCATCTCGATTCTGGACTACAGGCCCACTTTTGCCTCTAAGCCCTGGGGAAAGAACCCTTATATCTGCATCGTTGTACTCAGAAGCTGTGCCATCGTACTGCTCAGATGCTCAGGGTCCTCTCCTGCTCTCTGTCCTCAGACCCGGTGGTGACCAAGCGCCCACTGCTGTGGCTCTGAAGCAAAGAGCCTTCCATCAAGGAGGGGAAGGCTGGGGAGGGGGCATGCTCCAAAGGAAGCTGTGCAGCTGACACAGACAGGGAGAGACACATGGCTAGGTTGCTGGCAGAACCGAAGCAGGAAAAGCCCCTGTGGGCAGGGAGAGCCGGCAACTCCGGGTCAGCCTGTCATCAGCAGCCACCTGAGCTGCCTGCCCTGGTCAGCTGTTCACAGCTGCGGGCTAGCTGGGGGTGGTGGTGACACCAGAGTCGCCCTCTGAAGCCAGGGATTCAGGTTTACTTGTGACCGTGGCCTCCACAGCCCAGAACTCCATCCCAGCCCTTTGGAGCCTGCACACAGCCGGTGCTTTGGGATCTGGTGGAGAGTTCATAGCATCCTCTGTGGAACTGTGAGTGGTCTCTCCAGGGACCCTCCTCTGCCATGCGTTGGAGATGCTCAAAACCTGCCCATGGGCGTGAAGTTGATAGAACCAGTAGGAAAACGTGCTCCTAGGAGGTCAGCTGGCTTCTGATTATGCAAAGCCCAGGCTGCCTGCCACCCATGGGCCACCCTTCTCTTTTTATCATGAGCATTTTTAAATTTTATCAGGGGCATTTTTAAAATCTCTGCTCCTGATGTCAGGAATATGGTCCCTTCTAGCTCACAAGATTGGCAGACAGAATGTCCTGGGGCTGGTCATTTGTTTCCTATGACTGAGACCACCAATTATTCCTTTATATTTGTTCTCCTCTTCCATGGTAATAGAAGTTTTGGTTGGGTACAAAGCTCTCCACCAAAGACTACATCTTCCTGCTTCCCTTGCAGTTTAGATGTGGCTTGTGACTAGGTCCTGGCCAATGAGATGGCAAGGAAGGAGCACTCTCTTTCATCTTTCCATTTACGACTGGTTGGAATGCAGATGTGATGGCAGGAACTGGAGCAGTTATTTTGGACCACATGGAGAAAGCTGCACATTGAGGAAAGCAGTACGACAAGTTTGAAGGAGGGTGTATACCTGACACGATTAAGTCACCTATCATCCTGAACTACCTAGTTGGATGATCAACTTTTATTCTGTTGAAGCCTCTGTATTTGGGGGTTTCTTTGTCCTGGTAGCTGAGCTTATACACTCCCATATGAGTATAGTAGAATGGCCACATCTAGATGTATCTGGTCACTGGTGAGATTGGGAACCCCAGGTTTTAGTAGACTATTACTTTGATCATCCTTCCCAGTATTCACACTCTTGTGTGACCTTTGCTCACAATGACTCTACACTTGGCCATGTGACTTGCTTTGGCCAGCGGGACCTTACAAAGTGTGCTGGCTATAAGCAGAGACTTGGCAAGCATTTGCATGGTGGGGCTTGTCCTCTTGGGACACTAACTCTTGGGATGCCTCTTCTCCAAACCCAGCTGCCGATCTTGAGAAGCTCAACATAGCCATAGGGAAAGGCCACGCGGAGGAGAACTGAGGTGCTGCCCTTGGCCCCAGCGGACCCGGCACCAATTTGCCAGCATGGGAGTGAAGTCATTCAGGAAGCAAATCCTACAGTCTGAGGCATGGAGCAGAGATGAACTGACCCTGCCATACCCTGTCACAACTGCAGAATTGGGATCAAATAAATAATCGTTGTCTTAAGCCATTAGCTTTTGGGGTAGCTTGTTACACAGCACGAGGTAGCCGAAACACAGGTGGATGGCCCAGGGCCTTTGTACTGTCGGAAAAACGGAATCCACCATGCATCCTTTTATACCCAAATGCCAAATGTCTCTTCCTTACACCTTGATACTAAAACACGACCTGGGAAGTTGCCGATGCTCTGGAAATACGTAAGCGTGCCTACTCTTCCCTCCAGAACCCCAGGCCCTGCCCTCGACTCCTGCCAAGTGTTTATCTTTTCCCCTCCCGCTTGGATTTGTAGCTTCTTCAATGGGGGTGGGCTCCATGGACCATCCCTGGTTTTTCATAAAGCTGCTGACCTGCCCTATCACTTAGATCAGGGTTGGGCAGCATTTGGCAGCCAAAGGCTATTTGTGTCTACAATGGCCTCCCTCGAGCCCACGTGAGTAAACGTTGGAGGAATGAATGAACAAATGAGCAAATGAATGAACTGTGACAAAAAGGAACTTCCCTGGATCCCAGCACGAGGTCAAGGTGAGAGAGGTATAGAAGGGTCTCCAAGGAAGGGCACGATCAGCAGAGAGTCTAGATCTAATGAAAGATTGCTTTGGAAATATCTTAACCCTTTTAAAATATAATTATAGTAGCTAACATTCTTGAGTTCTTGCTATGTGCCAAGCACTGTGCAAAGTGCTTTATATAAGTTATTGCATTAATCATCTCAACAACCCTGGGAGGTAAGTATTATAACTTTCATCCCATTTTATAGATGAGGAAATCGTGGCCCAGAGAGGTTAGGCAACTTGCCTAAGTGGGGATGGGAAGATTTGAATTCAGACAGTCTGGCACCAGAACCCAAGGGCATAGCCCCCACGCTCTGACAAACCACAGGAGTCCCATATTCCGCCCTTGGAGAAAAGGCCGGAACCTGGAATGCTTTAGGGCGCAAGCCCCAGACCCGAGCCTATGAAGTGCTCCTGGGAACCTCCAAAAGCCCAGGTTGGAAGAGAAGAAGAAGCAAAAAAGGGAGGTGAGTCTGGGGTCCGTGTGCCAGGCAGCAGGGGTGCTAGCCTTGGGCCCAGAGGTGCGCTACCCGCTCTGCCCCAGCACCTTCACCAGCTGCTCCCACTCACTCCCCAGAAATGAGCCTGGCCCCTTCACACGTGTCCCTAATGCCAGGTTCCAAGAAAGCCACCTAAATACCTGGTATTTGAGATGTAAAGAGACTGGCTCCCTGTACTTAGCGCTTCGCTAACTTTTCCAATTATAGCGCCCTATTTTCCAAAGTCTAAAATGGACATATGTTATAACTGTCTTGGGCCCCAAGGTTTCAGAAACACCCTTAAGGCTCCTGAAATACGATCGTATATTTTAGACTAATTCCTAAAGGGCCGAGTGGGGTTATCTTTAACATCTGCCAGCAGGCACACAGATCTGGTCTTTGTTCGCAAATGAGCCCGGGGCCTGGGCACAGGGCGGCCTCAGGTAGCACTAACTCTGTGCCGGGCTGCGTGGGAAGGTGTGCAGAAGGTAGATCCCAGGCTCGGTCGGGGTTGGGGTTCACAGGGAGACACAGCCCTGCCCTCAGGGAGCCCCAGTCTGAGGGAAGTTGCCAGGCTGAAGGAGGCAGGACTGTACAAAAACACAACAGAGGACCTTGGAGCGGCTGTGGGATTCACTCCTGCCGGCTCTGTTGTCACGGGTGGGCAGGTGGCAGAGGAAGCAGGCAGGAAGGCTGCCTGGTGCCCAAAGGGCCTGGAGACAAGCAGATTAGGTTGGGACGGGGCAGTGGAGCTGAACTTGAATCACTCCCTGGAGCCGGTGTGGCCTCAGGACTGCCAACCGGGGCATTTTCTGGTCAGTCCCAATTGTCGTTATTAAACATTTATTATGCAAGGGAGATGTGCTTTTCTGGTCGCAGCGTTTGGCCAGTGGACTTGGTGAGTAAATGGACTAGAACTAATCTTGTAGCTAAATAGTGAGGGCCTCAGAAAATAAATGCCTCACTTGCCTAATGGCTCCCACAGAGGAGAGAGAGAGAAAGTACCAGCCCTTAGACTGCCCCTCTCCCCCCAGGCCACCTAGCCTGGCAGCCAGGCCTCCAAATGGCTTTGTGACTAGATAGGGCAGAGATGACACTGGAGCTCGTTAGAATATACAGCCCGAATTGGGAGTTTAAGGAAATCATATGTAGGGGGCAGAGTTCTGCTTGACATCAGGAGAGCTGGGTTCGAGTCAGCTCAGCCCTTAATTTGTAGGATATCACCTCAGGAGTTGGGAGGGGCATCCTTTCTCCCTAGAGGCCAGAGCCTGGAAGAGGAGGAAAAGGAGAAAATCTCCACTCTGACTGGAGACAGAGTCCTGCCCTCAGGGAGCCCCAGTCTGAAGGGGAGAAGAAGCCCTGATCTCAGGGAGCCCCAGTCAGAGGGGAGACACAGTCCTACCTCAGGAATTCCCGGTCTGAGGGGGAGACACAGCCTTGCTTCAAGGAGCCCCAGTCTGCGGAGGAGGTGCAGCCCTGTCCTTGGGGAGCCCCAGTCTGAAGGAGGAGGAGACATAGCCCAGAGACTCAAGAAAGAGAAACACCAAATAAGCTGGGCCTTTGGGAAACAAGGTTCATCCTTACCCGTCCACTTCATTACTTGCCCAGAGAAGGCCAAGGGCTCCTCAGATAGCTACCTGGAGGGAGCCATTTTGAGTCTGGACAGAGACCAGAATGGGGTAGGTGCTCTACCATTGCCTGGAGCCTCTTGCTAGGCAGTGCCAGCCCCTTACCTCACATGAATCTTGCAGGTCATGCCCAGAGTGGGTGCCTACAATGTTAGCAAAGTGTCTTTATGTTACTAGCCAGGCCATTTTTTTTCCTGGGCGGAAAAGAGCTTTACTGACCCTCTTAGTGGAGAAAGACCAGGAAAGGGGTTTATTTGGATCTGGAAAAGTCTCCTTGCCAGACCGGGAGCTTTAGTCCTAGGCTAGAATGGGGCAGGGATTTGGACCTACCTTGTATACTGTTTTAACCCCAGGGCCTAAGATCCAGCCTGGCACTTGGTAGGTGCTCTAAGAAAAATCATTGAATTCATTAGAAGCCAACTGCCTTTTCAACACTAACTTAGAACTCATCTCCTATCGAAAAATCTCCATGATAAAACTTTGCCAACTTGAGTGACAAGGGCTCAAATTCACTTGCAAATATAATTAATTGAATTCCAACAACCGTCCATTTTGAAAGGAGCCACCAGGCCAAGGGACAGCAGAGGTTTGAGCCTAGCGGAAGCTCCTGTGACAGTTGACCCAGTCTCCCTGTAGCTGTGGTTCCCAGCAAGGGCTGACCCTGCCAGCCCTGACTTAGGGACACATGCCATGTGGACCAACACCGGATTCTCCTCCAAAGCAGAGCGCAGGCCAGCCTTGTCAGTTCTTCCCGGAAAGGAACGCCGCCCTCCCGGCCCCCTCCCCACACTGCTGGTGAACTCCAGACCGGGAGCTCCCTCTCCCACCTTGTTCTTCCTGGGAATCTTCCCGGGGCAGAGCTGAAGGGACTCATCCCGCCGGCTGCCTGTGTCTGAACTCTTTGTATGTGCTCACACATTGTGATCGGTCTCACGTTTCTGTGTATGTTTGTAAATGTCTCGTCCCCCCATTATTATTCACTCCTGGTAGGCACCAGGAGCTCGCCATAAATTATTTCTTTTTTCTTTTTTTTTTTTTAATTTTTTTTTAATTTTTTAAAAGATTTTATTTATTTATTCATTAGAGACAGAGAGAGAGAAGCAGAGGGAGAAGCAGGCTCCCAAGGAGCAGGGAGCCCGATGCGGGACTCGATCCCAGGACCCCGAGATCATGACCTGAGCTGAAGGCAGACGCTTAACCATCTGAGCCACCCAGGCGCCCTATTATTTCTAATCTCCATGAAAACTCTACCATTATCACCCCCTTCCGTGCACAGGAGAGCTAAGGCTTGGAACTTGGAGAGGTCACATATCCTGCCCAAGGTCACTTAAACTTGTAAATGTCAGAATCAAGATTCAAATCCAGAGCTGTTGGCTCCAAAGAAGTTCTCTAAACTAGCCTTTTCCAAAGCTAGCTGTTTATCAGCATTTGCAGAGAAGCTTTATACAAGCACATCTTCTTTACAAAAACATCATGAAAAAGAATGAGGCAGCTCTCTATGCATCAATATGGTGCTGTGTGTGCCTAGAACATCTCGAGAGAGAAGGCAAATAGCCAGCCATTGCTGGCCCTGGGGGACAGTCCCCGGAAGGAATACAGGAGAGAGACTTGCTTGTCACTGTACTCTCTTCAGTACTGGTTGGTTCTTCCTCCCTCCCTCCCTTCCTCCTCCCACCCCCCTTACTTCCTCTGTCCTTTTCACCTTCTCAAAAATATATGAAAATAATTTTTAAATCAAATACAATTATACATTCCGGGGCCCCCTTGCTGGACTTCTTAATAAATAAGGGTCTCCAAGGGTTGGGTCTTCGGAAGCTGTATTTTATTTTGTTTGTTTGTTTTTATTTTAAGTAGGCTCCACACTCAGTATGGAGCCCAATACAGGGCTTGAACTCAAGATCCTGAGATCAAGACCTGTGCTGAGACCAAGAACCGGATGCTTAACCAACTGAGCCACCTAGGGGCCCTGGGAAACTAGATTTTAAAAAGCACCCTAGGCAGGCGGTGGAGCCCTCTGATCCCAGCCTCTTAGAGGACTGACCAAGCCTTGCCTTGCCTGCCATGTCCCCACTTCCCTTGATCCTGAGCTTGGTACTGTCAGCTCTATGTGGGACCAAAGGCTGCCTGAGACACGTGGGGCCCCCCCCGCCTCGATGTCTCCCGCAGGACCTTTTCCAGCCAGATGTCACGAGTCCCAGACCTGCCAATAAGCCAGCACCACCCGGGGATGCAGCCCCTGTGTCCTGTGTCTGCCAGAGCTCAGAGGTCACACCTGCTCTCACACCTCGAGGCCACACACCCCCGGGCCCGCCACACCCCAGCCTCAGGGCCCTCAGCCTCCGTGATCAGCCAAGGTTATGTTATTCGGGTTCCCTCATAGAAACAGTGGCCTCCTGACCACACTCTTCTGTTCCTTGGCTTTTTCCCTTCAGTCTATCCGGGAGATCTGTTAGCGTTGCTCACACCCCATGGAGGGAGGGCAGCACAGCATTGCCCTGGGTTGAGGTGCTGGCATTTGTCTGGGAGTGGTGGGAGCAGGAGCGACTCCGGAGCCGGAACTCCTGGGTTCAAAGCCCAGCACTTCGGCACTTAGCCGTGTGATCTGGGGCAAGCTCTTCATGTCTGTGATGTGAGGATGGGAAGCGTGGAGACACGTGGTGCTGTCAGGTAGTGACTGGCACGTAGCAACCGCATACTGAGTGTTCTCACGATCTCTCCTATCGTTCGAGCCTCAGAGGGAAGGCGAATGGGCGCTAGTAAGCAAGGCCTGGGCTCCGGAATGAGCTCGGCCTCCAGTCCCCACTCTGCTTCTTTCTAGCTCTCTTCCTAACCTCTGAGAGCCTCCTTTTCCTCATCTGTAAGAGGGGGATGACTCCTGGCTCACAGGGAGCCCACACACGACACACATTCAGAGAAGGAACAATGGAATAGAAGTGGGGCTGGAGGCAGGCTGGTGGGCGCAGGTGTCCCGTCTCCCCCCTCTGCCTCTGCCGCTGTGAGGCCTTACGGGCATCGGGGTTCTGGCCGGCCCTGGCCGGTCCTGGCCTTCCTTCTCCAGAGCGCCCAGGGCAATCACAGCCTGCGGAAGACCCTACACTACCCGGACATTCCTTAGGGCTGGGAGATGGGCCGGCCGCTGGGGCCAGGCCTGCACTGGTCAGCACCATCAGCACACCCCTCCTGCCGAGAAGCGGGACCTCGGGAGGCTGACCGCAATCTGAAGCCACATGATTCACATCCCGGAGAAGACATTGTCGCAAGGACTGGGAAGTCTCCTTGGCCACGTGGTGGGCGAGGGCTCTGGCCCTCAAGAATGCCTGGACTTGGCCGAGAGGGGGACAGAACAAGCAAAGTGTAGGCTGCGTGCTTGCGTCCATGGGCCTGGGCTCCCCCAAGCCCTGCTCACTGGCCTGGGAACACCCCACGCCTCTGGGGTGCCTCCTTCCAAGGCCCATCCAGCCCCTTCGGGCACTCTAACCCCTCTGGGGATTCAATCAGCCGGTCTGCTTTGCTCTCCTGATTGAAGCAAGAGGAGGATCTGCTGCCTCTGGGGCTCCCTGAGCCTGCTGCCCATGGGCTAGTTGTCCGGGAGCAGAGACTGTTAGGTGCTCACCTTCAGGCACAGTTACCCCATTTATGCCTTCGTTTAGGAGTTACTTATCCGCCCAAGCTCCCCTTAGTGGACTGAAAATCCCATGAGGGCCGACAGGCAAGCTCTTACTCATCACCGTTCCTAGGGATTAAGTGGGTGAAGCTCCAGTGCAACGCTGTTATTATTAACACCCCCAAAAGTCAAGGACAGAACAGTAGCTGGAAGAATTGAGCACGTGGCTCAGGCACATGCTAAGCTCTTCACAGGCATTAACTCATTAATCCTCACAACTCTGTGAGATCCAAGGCTGTATGATCTTCATGTACAGAGAAGAAACTGAGGCACAGAACAGTAGATTGACTTGTCTCCCGAGGTCACACAACTAGGAGGTGCCAGGATTCAAACGCCAGTGCTCCGGAGCCTGAATCCACTTTCCAGCACAGCATGAGCCCTCGGTGGGAATCTGTGGACTCCCTGAGGGAATGGTATACAGATGAGCAGGCACACGGTGAGGAAGAGCCAAGGGGGCCAGGCCTGGGTTTCTGGACTGATTTGGGACTGACGTCAGTAGCTTGGAATCCGAAGGCCTCTTGGCCCTGGCTCCTCCTCGCCCTAGCACTCAGCTGGCTCTGCACAGGTGACACAAACAGGACTCCATTGCTAGGGCGCTGGTAGGGATGCCAGCCTGATAATCCCCGCCCCCCTCCCCCCCCCCCCCCCCCCCCCGGGAACCAGGCCTCTCCCTGCCATGTCCAACAGGGTCACGCCAGCGGCTCCCAAGGCCCTGGGCCAAGTGTAGCATCTCTTTCCCCACCCTGCTCCTTCACTCATTCTAGAATATTTCGTGGTTAAGAGCATGGACTCCAGGGTCAGACTGCCTGAGTTGCGTTCCTGGCTCTGTTACGTGACCTTGGGCCCGTTACCTAACGACCTCTCTGTGCCTCACTTCTTCATCTTTGATATAGAAATCAAAACAGATCATTGTAAGGATGGTGTGAGGATTAAATGAGTTAAAACATGTAAAAGGCTTAGAACAGTGGCACATCTCAAACAGCACAGACGTCCTCGTGACTCTTTATTGCACTTCTTCTTACCCACGCATTTAGACCGATAACTAAATAGGCAGCTGAGAGGGGAGGGCAGCTGGAGTAATAATGGTCCGCAGTCAGCATCACTGGAAAACCAGAAAGGAGCTGCCAGGACACCCTCTCGCTCTTACGGAAAGTCATCCCCGGGTGAGGGGGGAGGGAGAGCTGCCCCCCCACCCCACCCCACAGCCCTGCTCCTTAGACTCCATGCTGGTGTTGTCTTGCCCTCTGCTGAGACGGACAGCCAACAGCACCCCGTCCGATACTTAGAGCTCAGGCACACCTGGCCACAGGCACAGGTCTCTACTTGATGTATTTCAATGGATTTTTAAAAATCTGTATCAAAGTTGTTTATGAGTCACCTAAGAGTCACTTGGATCTGTAAGGTTCTATAAGGCACAAACAACAGTCTCACTCGGCAGAGGTGACCACGTTCACTTGCCATGACAGATTTTTCTGGTGCCTCTGGCCACCCTCCTAGGCATAGCCTTCCCTCCCTCCCCTTCCATAATCCCCATGCCATTCTAGTTAGATGAGAATGGACATGGCCTCGTGAAAGCATTGACATCCAGTGGTGAGCCATTTAGTAAACTGTAAACTGTGATTTTTTTTTTCTTTGCATAACGTTTTATTCTCTCTGGAACTGATGATGGTCCTTTCGGTTGTTCACTTAATTTTCTATGTACTTAGAAGGAATTCAGTGGCTTCTCACTTTATGACAACTGACATCTATTGAGCACTTCCTATGTGCCGGGCACCCTTTAAGTACTTTCCGTGTGTGAACTCACTCAGTCCTTACGAAAGCTCTCAGAGCTGTACACTCTATGATCTCGTGTTACAGATGAAGAAATTGAGGTACAGAGAAGTTAAGTGACTCTCCCACGATCCCAGAGCAAGGAAGTGGCAGAGCCAGGATTTGAACCCAGGCTCTTCCCACTGCAGGGTCTGTGCCCACCTGGCCCCTCCTGGCCCCTGGGAGCCCATCTGTGCGCCGATCTCCTCCAGGCCCTTCCTTGTGCTCCTGCTGATTTCTGTCCCTATGGCCAGACTGTAAGCTGGGTGAGGGCAGGCCCCGTGTCCTGCTCCTCTGCAACGCTAGAAGCAGGGCTTACCCAGCAGATCCTCCTGTGCTGGGCGGGGCGGTCCTGCCTTCAGCTGCCTACTTGTCCGCGTGTTTGTCCACCACGGGCCTTACAGGTGGGAGGTGGGGCAGGGAGCAGAGCTGGTGTGCTTACAGCTGGGCCTACAGAGGCTCGGAAAGGCCAAACAAGTGCCTCAAGGCCTCGCTGTCGGGGTACTCGGGTCTGAACCCCCTCCTCTGGCTGCAAGCCCAGGGCTGTTCCTAACAGGCTAGGCTGCCTCCTACAGACACAGACACATGCACACCACACACGTCACACGTACAAATAGCCAAACATATAGATACGTTATTCACGTATGCTAATTAGGAACCCGCATTTCCACAGTGCGTGTAATAGACACAGACAGACAGACGTGCTTGCGTTTCGTACATCCATCCGCACACACAGGCACACACACGTCCACACGGGATCCGCAGGCATGCCGGTTATATATATATGCATTACAGCCACAAACGTGTCAACACGGAAACACATTATATACACACGTGTTTTATTTACAGACACAAACCCAGCACGTTATATATTCACACACACATGGACTCACATAGCCTACACACATACGGCGCATAAACACACACATGTGGAAATATATGTATACACACATAAACAAACGACCCGCATTTGCATAACACACTAACGCATAGTCACACAGATATGTGCCATACTTTTCACACATTAAAACACACAGGCATCTGCACAAAACACATACAAATAAACACACACAATATACACAGGCAAACATACGAGCACGTGGGTACATCCACAGATGTGAAAACATGCACAAACACAGCCATACTTACACGCGCGTGCACACAAATACGCGTGCACGCGAGCGTACGTACTGGCGTGTGCCCGCCTGGCCTGGGAGAAGGCCCATGCGTCCGGGTCCCGCAGCTGTCGGCTGACTTGGGGGGAGTGTGTTTCCCGACCTCCCGCTTGGGGTGCGTCAGAGCGTACCTCCCTCGGGCAGGGCTGGGCAGTGCCAGCCTTGTTGCATCGGAGGGGGGCGCGAGGGGGGTATGCAAGCCCTAGCCCATGGAGGGTTGAGGGTCCCCCAGACCTCCTGC